GAAAAACATTAAGGGAGCAAGCTGCATAGAAGAGGACATGGAAGACTGACTCTCCAGAGGCTGATTATGGCCGGCAGGTTCTGCTTTCGGAAAGTTTGAGATGTTGAGGAGATTTAGCAGCTTCAGTCTTCTTATTTTTGCCCCAAGATACATATGAACAAGTTTGCTTAAAGGCATGTTAATGATAAAACCTACACCACAGCAGTAAAGCAGACTCAGCATGAACCACAACTTATTGCTTTAATGAATTTTGAGAACTTTCAAATAGCTTTAAAAATGAAGGGTTTTCAAATCTACTGAGTGATCTAGTGATAGCAGTAATAAAGTAGTATCCAGCATGTGCTAGGCACTAAACATAAATATAGAAAGACATGGTCCATGCCTGAAGAAGTTATAGTTGACAAGAAATAGATGTTTTCCTTCAATCATCTTCAAACTACAGTAGTAAGTCAACCAGCTCTTCCAACCTATATTAGGTACAGTTTCATATACCCTATTATTGCCTTAAAATCCAAGATTAAAAACTGTACTCCAAGAGCTTCCTCATCCGTGAGAAGATGCTGACAGTAGCAGGGAAGCCCAGCAGAGGCTGTGCTCCAAATGTGTAAGCAGCCTGAAGAGTTTACCTACACAATAAGTTCAGGAGCAACTAGCTCCTAACGTCACAGCTATAATTTATACCAGTAAAGAAGTGCACACATTTTCACACCTCAAAACCCCTGACAAAATTTTAAGCTAAGTATTTCTGTGGTGCCAATCTAAGGAAGGTGCAAGTATAACTTATCAGATGACATCTCCACTTAAGTTTTGAACCCCCTGATCAACTTTAAATATCACTATTACACACACAAAGAACTACTTTAATTTTCCCACATACCACATGCTTCCACAAAAGACATGCACCTTACTTTTGGAAGAAAGAATGTAGAAAAAAATATTTTTTCCAGAGCAATGTTCAACTTGTGTAACAGAGTAGGTCTTCCTGGAAACAGAGAGGCCAGATCCTGACGTCCAGGCACGTGCATTTCCTTGGGGACAAACAGCAGCAGCACAATATGTGCGGCTGCTACTTGTCCCTAGGGAACACCCATGCACACATGCTCTGGTGTGGGGTGGGAAGGCTGGGGCCAGCACCTGGATTGACCCCAGATGCCTTACCTGCAGCCCTGGGGTCCTCCCAGAGCTTCAGCAGTGGTGATCCAGAGCTTGGTAGGCAACTGGAGTATGGTTCCAGCTAGCCAGGCTCTGGTTTGGGGCAGCACGCGCTGCTGCTATGTGCACTGCCCCACTTTTTTTCACTATGGGCTTTTTTGACACTGGGATCTCTCAGTATCAACACCCCCCTCCCATGGTGCTGCAAATTAGCAGCATGGGGAACACCTGCTTTTGTGAACACCTGCTTTTGTGGTGCTGCAGATGGGTCTGTGGCACTGCATGCTGCACATGCACACTTGTCTGGATGTCCCCAGACTGTCCAGAAAGTATGGAAGCCTAGGAGACAGTCTGGAGTGAGAAAGTAGGAACTTCATATTGTGGTAGGTTAGCAGCAAGGTTAGGTGCCAGATCCTTGAAAGGGCAGTAGTAAGACTGTTCTTTCTTCACCATAATAGCTCTTTATATCAATTCTTGTAAATAATAAAAAGTGTTGCTTTCATATCACAAGCCTCATCAAGATACTACAGACTCCAAGCAGCAGCTCAGTCATCCTCAGTTACCTAAGTGGCGCTTCAGCCAAAAGCTACTGCCTCACTAGCAGCTGTGAGAGTTAACTGGACTCCACCCTGATCTTCGCAGCCCCAGGGAGAAGTGGCAGCAATGGAGTCAGCGTTTGCTTGCTCTATGCTACCCAGCTTCTATTCCAGCAAAGAAAAAAAATCAGCATCCCTATTTAAGATGCACACTCCAATTTTGGCATGGGGAAGGTGCACGTAGTATACAAGTAAATATGGTAGCAATTCTAATGTTTTAAATGTTCTTAACATCCTGAGTTGGTTAGAAAGAATCCAAAGCAGCATGTTAATTTCACCAAACCTCTCCAGGAAACCAGAAATAGGTTTTCTACCATTTTTCCAGCCATGTGGACTGCCAAAAAGCTAGGATACTGGAAATGCTGGGAATCCCAAACTCAACTGGCTTCATCAAAGAGAGATTTACAAATTTGGCAGCCTTAGCTGGAGCTGAGGCTCTCGGGGACCCTAGCCTCGACAACAGGAAGCCTGGCAGCTCTAGTAAGCCCAACTTGAGCCAAGGCTGTCAAGGCTTTCAGGCACATGACTTCCTGGCAGCTGGAATACCTAGCAGCCTTGGGAGATTGGTCCATTTCCTTTAGAAGTCAAAAGGAATGTAATTTCAATTTTTCTCAATTAAATTTTGGACTTTCCTCATTCTAAAGGAAATTCAGAAAGTGATTTTTTTTCTTTCAATGAAGAATAATTTTGCTTTTAAGTCTCAGAATTTCCTGAATAACGAATTCTAGGTTCCCACAAATCCTAATTCTTAACAAAAAAACCCAAATTAGGTTGTTTGGAAGTGGGGCAAAAATTATCAAAAGCACCAAAAGTCAATAGGACTTGACTCTTAAATGACTTAAGTATTTTTGAGAATTTTATCCACAGCTACCATAAAGCTCATTTCCACTATCCAAAATACTCACTTCAACTTCCGGGTGTCTGCAGCAATGAGACACTACTTTTCCTTAGTTTGAAACTTATTACTATAAATGCTGTCAAGACCAAGCTAGAAATGCACCTCAATATTCTAGGCACAGGAGATTCAGCCCAGTGGTGAAAAC